AGTTGAAATCCAGTTATTTATGAACTTCTAGTGAATGATAAAGCTCAAACTTACTCTTCACTAAATAATGAATGCTGCTTTTTCCCCCTCTGAAGGTGAGCATATGCCAGAAAAAAAAATGTTTAAATTACAGAACTGTCCATACTAGGTATTACCACCTAATAGCTACCACAAAGTTGCTAATGGCTAGTAAAAATACTACTTTTTTCTATAATGCATGCTCTAAGAAGTGTTTTCAGTCATGTTCAAATGACTCAGATGAACTAATCTAAGAAAATTACATCCAATTGATCCCTTGAGACACAGCCTGAAGTTCTGATTCAACAAATCACAGTAGCTTATGCTTTCTCTCCACTGGAGACCAGCAAAGCACATGTTTAATTACGTTGTTAAATTAGGGGTTTGGCTGTGGCAACTTACATTAGCTAATGAGAAAAAACCCCAGCCAAAAACAGAGGAAATATTTTAATGCTAACATAAACAGGTATGAATATAAATACAAACAAGATTTACATCTCTTCTTTAAGACGGCGGCGTTTTGCTTTCAGATTAGAGCAGTGCTTTAAAGATTCATGCAGTGTACTTGAAACAGCTTCCTCCGTGCTGTCCGAGGAATGGATAGGCAAGTTCTCTGGCTTTTTCAGTTGCCAACGCCTTTGATCAGGGATTCCTGAAACTGCTCATGTTCTCAACGGTAAGATTGCTTGCGCAGAGACGCGTTGAAGAAGCCTGATCTGCAGAGCAAGAACACTTCTTGCCTTCTGAAAATCAAACATTTCAGTGCAGTGCTCTGGAAATGAAGCATTCCTGTGCTCCCACTTGGGAGCCTCTCGAAAAGCTCGGTCTCTCTGCCCTCTTGCACTGGCAATACTGGCTCACCTACATTTATCTGAGTTAAAATACAAGCTCTTCAGGGCAAGTACCCGGCCTTTTATGTGTTTTGAAAGAGCTGTATATAATTAAGGTACTTTGTATGAAGAAATTACTTCAAAACAGTTTACATAGGGCAGCTATTTCAAGATCAAGAAAAAATCTTTAGCCTCGTTCCCTGAGGAAACAAGGCCTATGTGACTGGACTGGCTGGCTGTCCCTCCTCCCTTCCATCCAACACCTTTTGAACTTGTTGGACAGTTTAAACTGCATTTGAAAGGGGGAGACGTCTCAAAGATAATTAAGTTCCCATGGACGTTATGAAAATCAGCTGCTGGGAAGAGAGAAATCCAGATCCACAGTTCAAATAACTAATGTTTTCCAAGCGTAATCTTGCAAACCCAAAACTTGACTGCAAGTGTAATAATGACTGTCAGGCTGATAATGTAATCCCAAGTATAGAGGACTGACAGCTATTATGCATCCAAATATTAATATGCAGACTGATACCAGAATGAAGTTAGATTCTCCTTATTTTCGTGTTTCAGTGTTTTTTAGTAGGAACAATATAAGCATCCTCCTTATGCTTGTAGTAAGGAATTTTCAGGGAAATTAGGGTCACTCATTGCTTGTTGGCTTGCTTTAAGTGTTCCTGAAAATTTTGTATTTTTACTTTTTTCAGCTAGTGATGTTCTTTACTGTATCCTTATCCCTTCCCTATAATTACTTAGTACTGGCAATACATACGTAGAATCAAGAAATTAGATAGTAATTGGGCTGCATTACTTATGATTGTTGCATCTGATAGGGAAATTCATAGTTGTTTCTGTTATCGCAAAAGCACTTTAACTGTCTGAGCTCTATGAACTCATTGCAGCTCTCGCTGTTGCTTTTAATTTAATAGAGTGTTTTGGTTGAAAGAAGTCAGCGAAGGGAGGGAAAAAACAGACCACAAAAAGAAAAAAGAGAACCAAATTTCCTGATTTCCAGATTATTTCACTGTCTCTAAAAAAAAACCACCACAACAACCCAAAAACTTAAATTTAGGGTCATGATCATACACTGGTCTATTTGAAAGCCACTGGGGGAAGATGTGTGTGGAGATTGGACTTTACTGGTGGTACAGTTGCTTGTTGGTTAAGTGATACACGCAAGACAGGTTGGCGAAGACGGGGCTTCCCGTGGATTTCTGTTTGATTGCAGTATGATAAGTCATACTCCTGCGTATTCCCCAGTTTGGGTTTTCTGTATTTTACACGTGTTTGGGCAAGCTTCGCTGCTGCACACCATTCCGCTGGCAGTAAGGAGGCTCCATGGGGCTCTTCTGGAGCCCAGACGACGTTTCACAACTCGTGCTTAGAACGGAGGCCAAATGTTAGTGTGTCGGCAAAGCAAAAATAACTAACTTAATGCTTTTTCACCCGGCGGAGTAAGCGACTGTGTTAAAAAAAAAGAAAAAGGCCCATATTTTCTTCAATAGCCAGAGGGCCAGACAGGCTGCGGGCCGGGCGGCCTGGCTGGCCGCAGGCGGGTTGACCTGGTGTCTCCCCCGCCTCCGCACCAAGGGCCCTCAGCGGCCACCCGAGCGAGCCCTGCGTGGTCCTTCCTGCTGAAGCTGTTCCACTTCGCATAAGCGTCATTAAGCGTTAATTAGAAGAGGACTAGTTTAGCAGTCATTAAACATTACATACTAATTGAGCGCCGGGAGGGGGGCGTGTGTGTGTGTGAGGAGAGAGCGCCGGCACCATTAGGCCGCGGAGTCATTCTCACGGCGGGCAAGGAGGGGGGGAACCGCCTCGGCGTGAGGCGCCCGTCGAGCAGCCGAAGCCCCGGGGCTTGGGGCGCCCGCCGCCCCGGCCTGGCCCCGGCGCGCCGCCCGCGGGCCGGGTCCCCGGC